TTTCAGCAAAACAATGCTCACAACAAACGTGATACTATAAATACTTTTGCTGACGAGGTTCCTCTTCTCTCTTCTGCAGAGGACACAGGATGCAAAGAGGTGTGGACTTTACTACCACACACTTTCTGTAGTAACATTCATTCACAAAAATATGCACATGGATTCCGCATCTTTGCGTCCAGTAGACAAAACCCTGCCCCTCTCCATCTCACTTTGCTCTTGTGTAACGTCAACGTTACAACACAAACCGCTCGTTTTGGCCCGAACAGCGGCTTTTGCCGAAACGGGTTTTCAAAGAAAAGTGTAAAGATTTCTGATTTGACTAATCGCATCCGAGCCATGTAACGGGTCTAAATACATCCTCCTACCACCAACATTAGCACTAACATTACTGTACCTCGATTGTTCGCAGATCTAGGTGCAGAAAGGGTTAAGGAGAAAAATGATCTTTCATCGATCAAGGCGTGAGTCGATCCATTTTCCCAAATATTTTGGCACCACGGGACATCGGCTAGCTAACGCGCAGTCACCACATCGGATTATTCCCGTCTGAACGTTAAGAAGACACGGAAAGGTTGAGCTAAAGGGGGTTTTATTTCCCAGCTCCTGAGGTTTGGATAAGAAACGCAGCCATTTTCCATTAAAAATTAATAAGATGCAGTCTGAGCATGCGCACAGAGGCCTTTCTCCTCCCCTCTCCCGAACCACTTTAACATTTAAACGCGTTTTCATTGTAAAATCCAGAGCCTTTAGTTGCAGCCAAATAAAAACGCCGTATTTTTTAAAATGCTATTGGCCTGAAACGGAGCCATAACCCAGTTCTAAAGCTTCCCAAACTACACTTCCCACAACTGATGAATAAGGCTTGTGAATTTAAACATTTTTGTAAGAGTGCACAGCTTCTACCTGATTTGTTAGTGCTGTATGCACACAGCTGGACACATCTGGTTGATCGCCTTAGCCACACATTGTTTTATTCTGAGATAAAGTGAAAACGGATTTCTTCATACAGATAACAGCAGGTAGCATGTACATACAACAGGGTGGAAAGAATATTCACCAGAATGCATTTCATATTGAAAGACATACTGCAGATAGCATAATGTAGAACTAATATGGTTTAATGACAGTGAGGGTGGAAACAGCATCAGACACTTTGGTATTTAGAGTTTCTAGGTATAAAATCAACAGAAACCTCAAATGAAGCTGAGGACTCTTAAAAGGGGAAAAAAGGAAAATACAAACAAAAGCATAGGCTAAACTCAAGTACCCAAAGGGAACATTATTAAAAATACAGACTAAAATATTCTTTAACCACTTTGATGAAACTGCAGAGATGACAAGAGAGATGGAAGCTCCTGCAGTGAGCCATGGTTTCTCTTCTATAACACCTTGTACCGGCCTTTGCTCGTCGGCTGGTAGGAATTTTGCTGAAGAGAAGAAAAAAAGGGGCAATGAGCAACATATTTTAATGGTGTTTGCTGAATAACAACCTGCCTGTTTGTCGTTTCTCGTCTTAAAAAAAAAAAAAAACAACAGGCTGAAACAGGCTGATATCAATATGATACCCAGCACTAATAACTGATTCCCAGAAACAGGAGATGCTTACTAATCTGATGAGCTCTTCCTTTATTAGCCGTGTGATCTCCGTTTTAGCTTTCTGCACAGCCAGTTCATTAGCACCTACAAAACAAACAAGAGTTAATATGCAGATTCTCAATCATCCAGGTCATAAGTAAACCGAAAACAAAATCAACTGGACTAGATTTCTAGGTCGAAGACTTTTCACCTCTCATCCAAGAGGCTTCATCAGTTCTGAGTTAATATATTATATATGCAGTTCTTTCAAATACAAAAAACAGGAAACTTCAGACACTAAAAGGTAGTCAAAAGGATGTTCAGAAAAAAAAAAATGCAGAGTGCGAGCTCCCACACTGAGTCTTCCTTTCTCTGACACGTACTTTCAATGGCCAGGTAGATCTTGCGTTCTCCCTCCTTGGGCTCTTTGCCTGGAGGGAAATAGGTTCCTCTGATGGTGATAGCAGCTTCAGAGTATTCACCGATCCTCTGCAGAGCTTCTTTAGAGGTCACCTTCCATCTAGCAGTCTGGGGGTGGGAGACAAGGAATAAACACGTTATTTTTCAATTTCAATTAAAGTTTCCATCAAAATTGCAGTCAGTAAAATGTTACCAGTTTGAGTGCTTATGTGTTAATAAAAAATAGGAAATGTTTTTTCCAAATATATAATTTCACAGTTCTTTATTTAATAATGGATACTAATGTTGTACAGAAATACCTAAATGGTAGCTTAGGACCAGAATAATAAACTTCTTTCACTCCCAGAAAGAATCTTGTGAATATTTTAGTCTAGCCCTGCACCAAGCACTGCTGACCTGAGGGAAGTCATTGATCTCCAGCTCCTCTTCATATCTCTTGACGGTTTCGGCCTGTTCAGCCGCCTGCCGCTCCTCCTCTAGCTTCTCCACAGGGGTGTAGTTCAGCTTGGCGTTGATCTTCTCTGCCAGCTGCTCTGCGATGGTCTTAGCTGACACAGAGGGTGTCATGATGGTACCTCCCCGCAGGATGGCGTTTGTGGCCTGCTGCATCACATCCTACACAGGAAGAGAAAGCCAGACTGAGTTTTGGTGTTTGGTATAAATGGGAAGAAAAGAATCTTGACACATTATACACCAGAAACAATGACAGAAACATGAAGTGAATGTCAGAACTTTGCACACTTTCAGTGGAATAAATAAGAACTGATGGTCTCCAACAACCTGAGGGCAGGGACCACAAACAGAACAGTAATTATATGCAGTTATGGTGTAGTATTAGCAACACACAGGTTGCTAATAGGGGTGAACATGTTTAGCACAGCAGATCATTCCGTTTTTATTTTAAAAAGAAAAGACACCACTCTGCAGGTCTACACACAGGTCGATGCTGACCAAAACACAGCTATGTTCTGTCAATCAATAAATGCAGCATGTGATGCTTTACTGATATAACACTTAAGAGAGAATCATTTTGTTACTCTGATACCCCATATGATTGTGTGTACACAAACACACCTGCACTGATATATTACAGTGCAGGTTGGTAAGTTTTCAACCCTGTTTTTTTTTTTTGTTTTGTTTTTTTATGTCAGGCAGATTACATATCTGCTGAACATACCTGAGCCTCAGCACCCAGGTTCTTCTGAGCGTTGATCTTGAGTGCCAGCCTCTTGGCCATCTCCAGCTTCTGGATGTTTCCAGCAGACGTTGGTCCGAGGCCTGGCAGGGCTCCAGAGGCAGCTGCTGTGGTAGCAGCTCCTCCTGCAGAACCAGCAGCTGCACCGGGTGCAGAGAGATCCTTCACCCTTTTCTTGGAGTTGAACATGCTCTCAATTTGCTCCTCAATCTGACAAGGGGTAAAGAAGGGGAGATGAATGAGGTGAGCTGGGGTGTTGACACGACCACTTTGTAACAATTACTTAAATGTAAGTGGGAAAACGGCACACTCAAAGATACCAAAAAGAAAATAGGTCTTTAATATGATGCCATGGAACAGTTCAGCCAGTGAACTGTTAATGATATATGGAAGTCATAACAGTGATATTTAAAGATGGCTCACATCCAGGGCTCCGTCCTCATCATCAGAGTCCTGCAGTCCGAGAGCAGCTTTCTGCAACTTCTTTCGCTCATTAGCCAGGGCATGTTCTGTCTCATCAAACTTGAAGCCTTTTCCTGAGAAGCCGCTGCTGCTCTTGATGGTTTTACCCTCCTGTATGAATAGGAGAAGATGGGAACAAAACAAACAAACAAAAAAAAAAACACATAGGGTGAAAACTTAACAGTGGTGATGCTGTAGATTTAATACTCATATAGAACATTTTTTCAAAACTGTCCAGGAAAATGTCGGGTCACTTGTCGGGTCTTCTTGCCAACAGACACCATGCATCCCCCACACTGGATCCATTTGACCACGAGTCATTTCAAGTTTAAATATTATTCTTAGTAAATGGTCTTAATACAATATACTGAACTATGAAACTGTCAGCAAGGTAAGTTTAAAGAAAGTGTTGCAGAAATTCTTCCGCCAATGCCCGAAGCACAACAAAGAAAAATGGTATTTAGGTCAGAGGATAGCTAACACTTCCAGCATCATGATACATCAAATCTGGGTAATGGCATTCATTAAAAAATGATCTCCAGCTGCAAAACCATCCTGCCTAGTACAGCTTTAATAATTAATGTAGGTTTGATGCAAACACACTCATAACTGTTTTAGGTCCCCCTTTCCCTCATCTCACCGCTTTCTGTTGGTCTTTGAAGGAGGCCCAAAGCTGCTCCAGTTCTGCTGGGACAGGAGAGCCTGACAGCTCCAAGGCTTTGATGATATCACCAGCATAGCGAACTTGGTCCTCTGTGATGAAGGTGTAGGCATAGCCCTGGAAGACAGAACATATGGGAGAGAACCACATGTGTCATGATTTAAACTATATCTTGCAGCAGATGGTCTTTTTTTTTTTTATCCCATGTATGTCTCTGTGAAAACGTGACACCTATGTTACCCACAATGCAAATCAACCACATTTGAGGTGTGTTATGGGTCTAGTGACTAATTAGATTTTTTTTACCCAAGACTTGCAAACAGACTTTATGTGAAAAAAAAAAACTGAGCTCCCCCTTAAGGGACTGACCTTGTTGCCTGCTCGGCCTGTGCGTCCGGCCCTGTGGACGTAGTCCTCGTAGTGGTTGGGACAGTTGTAGTTGACCACCAGGATCAGCTGCTTGACATCCAGGCCTCTGGCTGCCACAGAGGTGGCCACCATCAGACGACAAGCTCCATTCTTAAAGTCATTGATGATGCTGTCTCTGTCATACTGGTCAATTCCTAACAGGAGTAAGGAAAGGAATACATTTTAAAAGATTTAAAAAAAAACCCACAGATTGTTTCTGATCAGAAAATAAAATTTCCTAAGTTTCAATAAAAGCTTCGATTAATATATTCAATACTCAGTTGATAACTGAACCTTACCAAGTAGCTTGTGAGTCTAAACGTAATGAAACCGATTCATAGGTTTATGACTATCCATGATGACAAATGTTCATAAAGCCTGCCCATGTGACGTAAGCTGTCATTAATGTTGGCAGATGCTCTTCGAAACGGGTTATTTCACTTTTATCTATCTCCAGATGCATGGTACAGCAGGAACGGAATCCGAGCCTTTGATAGTGTATATATAGTCACTGCTTGTGCATCATTTCTAACATTAACACTTACTAGATGGATATTACATATATTAGTTTAGAAATGTGACTTCAGAGTTTACTGTCACAAATTTGGAATTCTGGATCACGACAGCAAACTGTTCATTCAGATTACAGAAATGATCAGAAAGTTGTAATCAGTGCACCCCCCCCCACTGTGACGCTTTACCTCCGTGCAGAGACATGCAGGGATAGGAGGCTTTCATCAGGTCTTTCAGCAGCGCGTCTGCATGCTCCTGTTTGTCCACAAAGATGATGACTGAGCCCTTCTCCTGGTAGTGACCCAGAATCTCCAGCAGCTTCAGGAACTTCTTGTCCTCCTCAATCACCAGCTACAGAAGGAATTACCAAAAGAGGGGGGACAAACTCACTGAGGGCTTAGAGTTGAACAGAGGAACAAATAAACAAAAACTGAGCAAAAAAAAAAAACAAACAAAACAAAACACAACAGGCAAAGGCAACATCAGCTAGCCCTAGGATCTGTGTAGGTAATGGACAAAAAACTCAAATGCTGATATTTAAATAAATCCTTCTCAATGGGAGAGAGTTGAAACATAGATGCTTTACCACATGTTGTTCCACATCAGAGCAGACGACACTGCGACCTCCCACCTGGACCTCGATGGGCTTAGACAGGATCCTGCGAGCCAGTGCCTCCATGGCTCTGGGAAAGGTGGCTGAAAACATGACTGTCTGACGGTCTGGGCGCACGTTGTCCACAATACGCATCACCTGGCAAAGGAAGAACATGACACATGGAGATTAATGCATGTTTTCTACTCATTCTTACTTTTGAGCTCATTGTTTTTTCAGCTTAACATCCAAGGTAACAGAGAAATTTCATTATTAAACATACCGTTTCCAGAACTAGTTTGTGCTCTGTTCACTATACATCCATTTGTTACTATGCAAGATTGTTAAATATGTTGAGATGATTCATGTAAACACATTTGAAACAGCTGCTTCTTTCTTGCCGAGCTTGCAACTGTTTCAGGGGTGGCCAATTCCAGTCCTCAAGGGCCGCTGTCCCGCTTGTTTTCCAATTATCCCTGCCTGAATTGCTGCCGATTACCTGGCTC